AGTGGAACAAGTAGAAGTGGGTACCAGGGTTCTTTCCACCAGAGCACAAAGTTAATCTTACCCCAGCTAGAAGGTTTGAGACCCCCTGCTTGCCTTGTTTCTTAGGTGTGAAACAGTTTTTGGGTCTGCAACTTGGTGACTTAAATTCTTGAACTGGAAATAAAAGATTTATGGATGGAAGAAGAAATAATCTTCTCCCTTCCATTCTCTTTTCAGGAACGAAAAGGTCAAACTATACTCTTTATTAAGTCTCTTAAAGGTAGAAACAGGGCTCCTTGGTTCAATGTTACCCCCAGGATAGGTATTCCAGCAGAATTTATGAGGTGGATGCTACCCCCAGGGAACCAGGCCATTCCTGTCAGCCTTTCTTAGATCTTTCCTCTGATAAACCTTGAAAGGTTGTTTCCAATAGAATCAGCAACTTTTCTGAAAAGAGGAAACAATTCAAGTCTAGAATTCAAAGCTTTTCTGTTGTTAAGTGCCTTGGAGTCAGTTCCAACCCATAGCAACTCTGTATAGGGTTTCTGAAGAGCGACTGGTGAGTTTGAACCAGTTTGAACCATCGACCATGCATTCAAACTGACCTTGTGGTCCAGTGCTTATCCTACAGTGCCACACCAGGATTCCTGTTGTCCTGTCAAGTCAATTCTAGAGTGACTCTGTATAAGGTTTCCAAGAAGCAGCTGGTGGGTTTGAACCACCAACTTTACAGTTACCAGGTTAGCAGCCCAGTCTTTATCCTACAATACCACACATCTAGCAGGGTCAAAAGACCCACAAAAAATGGAGTCCTTCTGCCTCTGTCCACACCCACAGGGTCCCATGCTCTTATTTGTTACTACAAGGAAAACGAGGCCAGAAATACCTACCCCCAAATTGTAAAGTACTGTCGAGTAGATTCCGACTCAAGTTACCCTGCGTAGGGTTTTCAAGAAGCAGCTGGTGGGTTTGAACTGCCAATCTTGTGGTTCACAGTCCAGTGCTGATCCAACAGCACCACACCAGGAATCCTACCCAATAATAACTTTATTTTTCTTTGGTGATTTTATGTATGTTGAGAGAAAGGGATGGCCAGTTTGAGAGAAATTCATTCTTTTGTGGCTGTTGTGAGAGGTAGTGTAAAAGGCGGAGTAATAGTCTTCCCATGTTGGGAAGTACAAGCTGTAGATTTCAAACTAAGAGAAAATAAGGAGGAAATTTTCTACTGTATTTTCATTGGAAAAGATTCAGGACTTATTTCTGAGCCAAGTCCTGAGACCTGTCTTTTCATTGTCTTGTTGTTGTTGTTATGTGCCGTGGAGTCGGTTCAAACTCAAAGTGACCCTGTACAGGGTTTCCAAGGCTGTAAATCTTTATGGGAACAGAAAGTCTCATCTTTCTCCCGCGGAACAGCTGGTAGTTTCAAACTGCTGACCTTGCGGCTCGCAGCCCGATTCGTAAGCACTAAGCTACCAGAGCTCCTGAGATCAGTCTTTTCCTTGTCTTATTGAGAGGAATGGAACTCTGGCGTGGCACTGTAGGATGAGCACTGAACTGCTAATCGCAAGGTCAGCAGTTCAAATCCACCAGCCACTCCTTGGAAACCCTATATAGGTCGCTAGGAGTAGGACCCACTTGATGGCACTTAACAACTGAATGAGATTGCCCAGAAGCTACAATTGAACTGTACTCAATGGGCAACAAAGGCTTTGATGCATGCTTAAGACATGACATCTATTGACTAGGTTAAGCTTTAATTCAGAAGCTGCCAAGTAGAACATAGCTGAGGCCTACCCAAAAAGCTCCAGAGAGTTCAGCTTCCCTCTGGTAAGGTTATTTTCTTCTTTTCAGACTTTTGTTATTTCAGGAACTATTCTCATATAACCCAGGGGGTTGTCTAGCTTCTCTGACTCTTAGTGGTGAGGACTGAAGTCCCACATACCACAAAGCAAGATTTACTGGCCCACTGGCAGGCCCTTAGGCTGTGCAACTCACACCTTACCAAACAAGAAATTCAACTGTCAAGGATTGTCAGATTTGTCTTTTATATGGCCTTATTCTTAGAATCTGATCATCTTAAATGGAAATATTCTAGGTTAAGACATGTATTTTTTCATGATTCCTAAGGATATAAACATGCACCTTCAACCAGGCACAGTGAGCAAGTATGAGTAAGGGGAGACAACCAGGCCTCAGTGGTCATCTACTTGGTCATGGGAGCCCCACAGCTGGAAGTTCACATGAATGAGTTAGGGCCATACCAAGCCCACCAGTGATGTTTTGAAAACTCAGGCTGAGAAGACAGTGATATAGCAGAAGCCATCACACATGTAGGTGGGGATCAATAGGAGTCACAATCATAGTTTTGCTTACAAGAGAAAGTATACAAAGCTTGACACAAAGTGGTTAGTAATGTATCAAATCTTCCTGGAGCAGTTAAATGCTTGATCTTAGAGAAGGGTTGTTGTTAAGTGCCATCAAGTAGGTTTCGATTTATAGCGACCCTATATAGTTTCCAGGAGCGGCTGGTGAGCTTGATCCGCCAACCTTGTGGTTCAAACCGACCTTGTAGTCCAGCACACTAACTGGCAGCACCACAATTAATTTCCTAAACTTCTAAAAGTCCACGTTCCAATATACATTCCACTGGAAATTCCACTAACATCCCTACACAGGGTGGCTATGAGTCAGAACTGACTTGACCGTGCTTAACAATTCCTTGATAGAACCAGTCACAACAAAAACATAGAAATCAAAAGAAAATCTAAAAATTGAGAAGCTACAACTCTAGCAATTATGGGGGAAGAAAATAACTGGGATGAATGGGAGTGGGTAAGGAGGAGGTCCAAGTAGAGCTGTTTCAGTATTCAGGAAATAAGCAGCCGGCCTGGCTTCCCAAGTCTTCTCGCTGGATTTCTCACCCAAAGACTTTCATTGTTACATTTCTGTGCTGGGGCTCTTTTTCAGTGAATCTCTTCCTTCCCAGCCTTGCTAGCCAGGTTCCCTAGACTTTTTACTATACATAGTACCCTAGACTGCACTTTTCACTCCACCCTAAGTTTCATCTGTACTCCAATATTCTCCCATTCTAATTCCTTCCCAGATCTTCCTACGTAGGCCTGTCTCTCTCTCCAACGTTCTCAACCAAAGTCCGCCCCTTGCTTTTTGCCTCAGGAACCCTCTCTTCTTTCTTTCCGTACGCTGTTCTCCAGCTGTACCGCACGAAAGGGGCTTGCACACGCCAGGCCCCTGCTTCTACTCACTCCTCTATACTGACCCATCTCCTGCCTTTTTAAGACCCTCCAGCTCCTGCTACTTCCCCCTAAATTCTGAGGCCTCAAGCCAACTCTCTCCGGGTTAGAGCCCTTCCTTCCAGCCCCAGCCCACCCTACGACCCTCTCTTCTTGACCACTTCTCCCCTCGCGTCACGCCCTAGCACTTAGGCCCCGCCCCCGGCACAGATGCCCCGCCTCCCGCGCTTCGTCCAAGCCCCGCCCCTCGCTCACCTGAGGCAGCTCCACTCGCGCACGCGCGTGCACTGGGGTAGTTGGGGAAAGGGGATGAATGGTGTTGGGGAAGAAGGGAGCAGGGCGGCGGGGTTCCCCCACTCTGGCCCGGATGGCCCAGTGCGGGGGGAGTGGGGTCACTGAGGCGGCGGCAGCCGGCCCGGAGCCAGGACCTGGGCGCTGAGCGGCGGCGGCGGCTCCATCTCCATCAGCGACTTCACCTGAGGAGGGACCAGCCCCCCCTCATGAGCCCCCCCCATGACAGTCGTCCCCCTCCCCCGAACAACTTCCGGTCCCACTACCAGGCGACAGGCGGTGAGGCTGAACACCGAGCGCCCCGAAGCCGGGGAGACTGCTGGGGAAAGAAGAGAGAGCTGCCAGGGAAGAGTAATCGAGCGTCGATTCAGTGGTTTAGCAATGGGTGAGGGTGGTATGCCGTGGAGTCAATTCGGACTCATGGCGACCCAGCATAGGGTTTCCGAGGCTTTACGGGAGCAGAAAGCCTCATCTTTCTCTGGTGGAACGGCTGGTAATTTCGAACTATGACTTTGAGGTTGCAGCCCCCCTCATAACCACTAGCTAGCTACCAGAGCTCGTTATAGCAATGGCTACTGCATCTAATTTATGAACTAAGCGTATAATGGACGCCCCACCAGGTGTGGCACATATTCTAAGTTTTCTCCTGCCCCTCCTAAGACAAGCTAGATTTCAATTTCAGCACTCTTTGCCTTCAAGTGTGTAGGAATTGGAGGAAGAGGTGATTAAGGGTACCAAATATTTTCTCTTCTTCGGGCATATATTAAGGTCAGTCACCTAGGAGTTGCTCAGATGCTGACTGACCTGATACGGGAGGCCCACTCCCTGACTTCCTGCACCTGCTTCCTTTCACCCCTCTTCCCGCTGTTTCCTTTTGAACTAATGGCACTGCATACTGACCTCAGTACCATTGAAGCCTCCCTCCAGCAGCACGTTCACTCCCCAGCCCCAGGAGGCTTGAGTCAGAATCTTAAATGGGCACTTTATTGATATAGAACTGCAAAAGTTGAGGGTTGTACCTGTCTCCTCACAATAAACCCCCTGGAGGCCCAGAGAGGCAGTGGAAAATAGCATTATACACTTTTCTTACATATACCCACACCCATTCCCTGAAGCATCCAAGAAGCAAAACAAAATAAGGCCTCAGTGGTGACAGTCTTTATAAGTAGAGTAAGAGAAAATAGTGCTTATCTCCAGACTTACTTTTTTCACTTATAGCTCCTTGCTCCCAAAGCCTCCAAATTCTAACACAAAGTCAGAAGCAAGGAGGGATCTGTAACACGTTATCAACTGAGGGAGGGTGCCTGGGTGGAAATGTGTAATGCATATATAATGTGTATAGCTCAGGAAGGGTTGGTACAGGATTCAGGATTGTGACTAGGAAGCAGAGAGAAAGAAGGGCTTTCCTATGGCGATGAGGGCCAAGGGATGGGTGTGTGTGAACAGGGGTTGAGAAGGTGGTGCTGGGATTAGACGACTCCTTTGTTCCATGTTCTCATGGAGTGACATGAACATGGACACGGTGCCAGGCATTGCTGAGCACGCCTCTCAGGTTCCAAATTGGGGCCACAGTGTCCGGCTGCACATTGTAGCTGTCATCCACAGCCTTACAAACAATGTTCAATTCCTTTTGCCCAGCAGGCACAAGGGCTTGCAGCTGCCATAGCCGCCATGCCCAAGCTTTCCTGGGGTGCTGGTCCTCTCCATTCAGCTCAGCCACCTGCCAGGTTAGGCCCCCATCCAGAGATACATCGACCCGGACCACAGCTCTGCCACCACCGCTCCATGCGTAACCCTTCACAGTCACCTCCCCAGACGCTATTGTCTCCCCATCCTGGGGCTCTGTGATGGCTGACTGGATAGGAAGTTCCTGAATAGATGGAGCAGAATCAAAATCTACGGTGTCCCAGTCCACAGATGGAGAGAAACCTTTGTAATCCCGCCTTTGCCAGTGGCTGTAACTTTCCTCTGATTCCACACTCACTTTGCCTAGCCACTTCACATGGCGGGCACCTACAACACCAGGAACCACTACCCGCACAGGGAAGCCATGGTCCCGAGGCAGAGGCTGCCCATTCATCTCATATGCCAGCAGGACATCAGCTTCGGGGTCCAAGGCCCGAGCCAGAGGGATGGATGCTCCATAGGCAGTTCCAGTGGGATCTGAGTCCAGCCCCTCAAAGCAAACATGGGCTTCAGTTTCTGAGAGGTGGTGACCAGCCTGGGTTAACACATCACAGAGCCGTGCCCCAGCCCAACGTGCAGTACTTATGGCCCCTGTCCTCCATTCCAGACCTTTTACTTCTTTGACCCTCGTCATCTCAGAGCGCCGGTTGCCAGCACACTGCAGAGTGACTGTGACCTCATGCTTGGGGAACTGGCATAAGTCATCCAAGGATAGGGACAATGACTGCCCCCCAGATGGCCCTTTTATGTGCAGGCGATAGGTGTCTGGGTCCAGGTTGGGTACAGGTAGATGATTTCGAGTAAAGAAGAGAGGATTGGGTGTGATATAACTCTCCGTCAGCAGCTCAGGAGGGGGCTCTGCATTAAAGGGGCGCTGGCTATTGACCTTCAGGGCTGGGTGCCGTGGAGGATCGCCAGCATAAGGGTCAGAGGTCTCCAAGGTGGGAGGCGCTGTATCTTTGGGGTCCAGTTCCCCAATCTTATACTGGGCCAGTACCTCACGCACATGGGGCTGATTGTGAACAGCATAAAGAGCCCAGAAAGGCTCTAGGGGACCTCCTGCTGCTAGCATCAGTTTTGATGGGCCCCCTGGGTGTAGATCTACAAATTCTGTGACATCAAAGACCTCATGGCCAAAAGTCACCCAGATCCCAGTCTTAGGGCTGCAGTGGGAGCTTACTTCCTCCCTCGTGTATATGGGTGGTGATTCCTGAGTAGCCTGCAGGCAAAAGGGAACAGAATATTAAGAAGAAATCACCCTAGCTCTCCCCTGAACCAACCCACAAGTTTTGGCTACTAGGAACTGCGATTCCATCACAACCTGAGTTACCTGGGGAGTTAGTTAGGGCTCTTTCCCCACTTACCCCGCACCGACGTTCATGATAGGCTAACACTGCGCCAAGGCCCAGGAGGGTCCCAATGACCCTCCAGCCCCTGCTGCCAGAGTTATCACCAGAGAAGGCAAGGCTGGAATGCTGGGACTGAAATGTATTATCTGTAGAGCAGGCCCGAATGCAGTGCCTCGAGGTCAACCTGAGTCTAGGAGAGAGATAGGTCTTCTTAGTAGCACAATTTCTTTGACTACGTGAATGAGTCAGAAAAGCCCTAGGGGTCTACCTTTCCCTGGTCCATGAATCACTGGTTCCAACCTCAGCTGGAATGAATGGAACAAGTGATTTTCCCTTTTCTCCCTTGCCACCTTTACATCTGTTAAAAGCAATAAATGTCCCCTGGCAGATAAGATAAGACATCATAAAGATACTAGGGGTGGGAGATAAGGGCTAAGAGGCCACCTAAGATAAGATGGCTTACCTGGAGACATGTTGGAGCCCTGGGACCACAGCTCTGTGCAGCAGCAGCATTGTGGCAGAACTGTAGGAGGAAGATACTTGGATCAAACTGGGGAAGAGTCCTGGGAGAAGATGGTATTAGGGAGACTTGAGGGAATGGGTAGGAAAAAGATACAGAGAAGGTCAGCTGAGAGCTCCTTGGGCAAATGGGAAGATTAGGAGGCAAATCATAAAGAGACAATTCTGTGCTGACAGAATGGGAGAAGGTAATGGGGAAAGGGAGTCTTCTAGAATCATCTCTCATCCTCTACTCTTTGGCTGCTACAAAGACCAATGCTCAGGGTCAATGGCCTAAAAAAGGCAGAAGCCAAATGTCGACTGTCCAAATTGCCAGTTTTTTTAAGTCAGAAGAGTACAACTAAGGGATAATTTTATGTAAACAGGGACAAAAAAGATGAAAAAGAAGTGGCAGTCTAATGGGATAAAAGAACCCAAACTGCCTTAGGTTTGTTGTCCTGTTCCCCCCTAAACTTGTGTCCTCATCTATGAAATGAGAGTGCGGTCTACCTCACAGAGCAGCTGTGAAGACTAAACAAGATAATAAACTGCCTTTGAAGGTCCTGCAGCCCTTCTCCTCTCCCTCAACCCATTCTAAAAAAAAAAAAAAAAGAGAACCCAGCTGCTGGGATCCGGATCTCAATCCAAGGTCTCTGTCCCTACCTTGCAGATGCAAGGGGTTAACGGCTAGGGTTTCAGGGAATGGGCTGAGAAAGGACTGAGGTAATTTCTCTGCTCTCTGCCTGCAGCAGTTTCTTCTTCACAGTCCTGAGCATCAGATCACTGACCCCAGAAGGCCAAAGTAGAAGGGGTGAGAACTGTCCCAATTGTTGACCTAAGCGAGAGAGGCTGGACACCAACGGGGGTGGGGTGGGGCGAGAGGGTGAGGCGAGCGGGTGCAGAATGGAACAGAGGAACTACTACGGAGTTAGAACAGGGCCCGCACTTCACTGATGGGTCGTGGAGCTCTCTTTCTCACCTGACTTAAACCCCAGTAGCTGACTGGCTTCGGAATGGAGCTTTGCCGGTAAGGCTGACTCTCAGATGAAAATCCATCAGCCCAGAGGCTCCAGTCTGGAAGGAGCAGCAGCCTTTTGCCACAAAACAGAGGCGCTACACCTCCTAGTGCGAATGGTGGTCCCTCTCTCCCCAGGGGTACTTTCGGGAGGATAAGGCTAACAACAGCCGGGCACAAATACCGGGTCCAAGTCCCAGCCCAGCAGCAGCCACACGAGGATATTGTAACACCTCACAACCTCGAGCACTCCAGTAGGGGTCATGGAGGCAGGTACTAGCAATTTTGTTGACTTTGGAGTTAAGATACCCAGATTATCAGCCCTTCCTCCTCCCAGTCCCAGTCCCCCTTACCCCGCTCGGCGTCCGTGCAGCGACTGTTTTACCCGCTAGGAGCCTAGGGATCGTTCACGAAGGGGTGGGGCCAGCGCCGTGACGTACCGCAGAATTAAAGATCTACTCAGGCTCTCAGCTCGTCCCCCCAGTCATTGGCTGGCTGTGGCCGCCGTCCGAGCTGCTGTACACGCCTTCTGGAAGCCGGACAGGCGGGACGCCACGAGGGCAACGATCTGGGACTGGCCGAATTTTTGTTTCCAGTCTGAGATCGCCATCGGTTTTAGAGTCGGTAGGCGAGGAATGATGGGACCCTAATTGATATCTGGACCCAGTGGAAGGTGACAAAGACTCCCAAGAGCGGAGAGATGGGAGACTTGGAGACATCCCCGTGGCTGGGGGTGTGAAGGCACCAGGTGCGTTCACCCTTGGGGGGCCTTGGGAATCTAAGGGAGGGGGAGGGGGAGTTCTTTGGCGGGGAGCTCTGCCTCTATCCTGTTTTGACGTGTGGCAATTACAACAGCCGGGTTTGTCTTAGCAAAAAAACAAGGTCAAGCGCACAATTGTTATATTTAGGAATGAGAACAGAAATTAAACCTAAGGTTCCAAAACTTCGGACTCCTTGGATTAGCCAAATTTCTTCTCAAATTATGTAACCAACAACACGGAATAGTCATCTAAAAAATTTGCTTCGTAAAGCAGAATTTAAAAACAAACAATTGTCTTTTAACAAGATTATTAAAACATCCCAAAATCGGAAGCCTATAATTGCTTATAGTTTCACAGTAGAGGACACTAGTAGGATATGTTTGCCATTACCCTTTCTATCATTTTGCGAGGTCTGATATTATTGACGGGCAGGTTGTGTACCTTCTAGCCTGCAAATCTTGTCCCTGAATCAGGGACAAACGTACCTTACACTACCCTCTAGTGGTCAGATGTTCAAACTACAACCTTATTTTGTTTAAATCAAGATCTTCACCTTTTAATTTTGAAGATCATTTTCCCTCCTTTGTATTCTGGTGGAGTGGTGGCTTACGCATTGGGCTGTTATGCAAGGTCAGCAGTTTGAATACACCAGCCTCTCCACGGGAGACTGCGGCGGCTTTCTGCTCCCATAAAGATTTACAGCATCGGAAACCCTAAATAGGGTTGCAGTGAGTCAGAAGATAGGACTGTGTTTGGGTTTTGGTTTCAACTTTTTAAGGGAACCTGGTGGCACAGTAAGGAGCCCTGGCGGTGGTGTAGGCTAAGCACTGGGTTGCTGCTCACAAAGTCATAAGTTTAAACCCACCAGCTGCTCCACAGAAGAAAGATGAGGCTTTGTGCTACACAAAGGTTTGGTGGTGATGGTGTGCCGTGCCGTGGAATCCGTCATGGCGCCCCTGTATAGGGTTTCCAAGGCTATAAATCTTAACGGGAGCAGAAAGCCTCATCTTTCTCCTGCGGATCGGCTGGTAGGTTTGAACACTGGCTCTGAGGTTAGCAGCCAGACTCATAACCACTACATTAGCAGAGCTCCTTCCACCAAGGTTTATAGCCTTGGAAAGCTGTACAGAGTTGTTATGAGCCAGAATCAACTCAATGGCAGCAGGTGGCACAGTGGTGCCTTGGTAGCTCAGCTGCTAACCAAATGGTTGGCAGTTTGAACTCACCAGCTGCTCTGCAGAGAAGGTGTGGCAGTCGGCTTCTGTAAAGATATTCAGCCTTGTAAACTCTGTGGGGCACTTTTACTGTATCCTGAGTTGGAATCAACTTTATGGCAGTGGGTTTGGTTTGGGTGGCACAGTATAGGAGTTCTGGTGAAGTGTTTCTGTAATTGGCTGCTAACTGAAAGGTAAGTAGTTCAAGCCAGGACTTCAAACCAGTTCTTCTTGGTTCAGTCTTGGCCAATAAAAAGAAACCTGGGTGACCTAGAATCTGTAAAATGTAGATGCCTGGAACGATAATCAGAATGGGGTAAATTATAGGTAGATACTGCTAGAAATTAATTTTCCTTTTAGAAAACAAGGGCAGTATGTGTGTTGTATAGCAACTAGCCCAGCTGGAAACAATGATGTCCTGCTCAAAGACAGTAGCTGACTGGCAGGTTTGAACGTACGTAACTCTCCAGTGTCTTGGCAATAATCCAGTCTCCTGAAAGGGCTCACTAAACCTCTTCTGAGTCTTCCATTCCAGAGCTTCAACCATAATTTCACCCCCTCCAGTTACCATCCCAGGTACCCACAGTTTACAAAATTTGGTCTGTCCCAATTTTGCTTTGTCAACCATGACTGAAGCAGGTTAAGCCAGTTCAAAGCCCTGGTTCAAACCCACCAGCCACGTCAAGGAAGAAAAATGTGGCCGCCTGCTTCCCATTAAGATTATCAAATCAAATGTTGTGGAGTAGATTCCAACTTATCCTTTGGAACAGAGGAAGACTGCCCTATTGGGTTTCCAAGGCTGTAAATCTTCACAGAAGCAGACTAACCACATCTTTCTTTCTCCCACGAGGGGCTGGTGGGTTTGAACCAGAACTTCGAACTGGTTGTTCAAACCAGTTCACTTATGGCTGACAAAGGGAAACCAAGATGGATCAGATTTTGCAAAATGCGTGAAAAAAAGGGTTTGGTTTTTCTGACCTTTTAAACGGAACTAGATCTTTTAGCAAGAATCAAGCCACCTACTGGGAGTACTAAGAGACTGGAGAAAAGTGAAGTTTACTTTGGCTCTAAAGTTTTTAAAAATGGAACTCAGTTTAGAAACCTAAGGAGAAGTCTGATGCCTGGCCTATTCCTATCAGCCTTTCAAAAAATAAGCTCAGTTCTATGATCTCAGCCAAGGAAGATACAGAAAAGATACATACCTGTGTGGACTATCTGAAGGAAGGTACAGAAAAGATACATACCTGTATGGACTATCTTCCTTCAGATACAGAAAAGATACATACCTGTATGGACTATCTGAAATCACAGCAGAAGACCTCTGCCTAATATGTGTCACATAACTGGCCTTTAAACCTCAAGTTTTCTTTATTTTACAGATGCTGAGACAGATTAGCTAAGTAACTTGATCAAGGCCATGGCTGGTAAGTTGGCAGAGACAGGTCTGGAATGTCAGATCTGTCTGGCACCAGTCCCCTTTCCTGCTTTCCTCCTTTAGGTTCTTTGGGAACCTAAGCCCCTCTGCACTTGCACCTACTTAGAAACAGAAGGGCTTCAAGGGCAGTATGAGATAAGAACAGGCTAAAGGGAAGTTTTTCTTTTGGAGTTGAAGCTACATAGTAAGAGCTAATTCAGTTATTTTTAACTTTAACTCTCCCTAGAAAAACATGCTTACATTTTGCATATTATTGCAAAGGAGTCACAAACCCCACCTCCACTCCCACCCCCAACTAACCCACTGATTGCCCAAAGGTCCATATACTATACCACACCCACACGACCATACCTATACTCCTACACCTTCTGTTGAGAGCACCTAAAAAGAGCTAGGGTTAAGATTTGGTGTCTTTTAACAGATCCCTGGTAGCACTGTAGTGCAATCACTGGCCTAACCCCAAAGTCAGTAGTTCAAACCTACCAGCTAGCTGCCCCAGGAGGAAAGATGAAGCTTTCTGCTCCTATAGATATTTACAGCCTCAGAAACCCTATATAGGGTCACTATGAGTCAGAATCAACTCTATGGCAGTGGGTTTTCAGTGGCATTTAAATAAGATTGATTAAACAGCAATAAATGGGCTATTTTCCGAATTAGATTCTCTCCTTATTCAAGAAAAGATTAAAGGGAACAGGAGGTATCAAGATGAAGAGGGAAGATATGCTTCTGATTCAATAAAACATTATTGGGTGTACTTTCTTTCAAATTTCTAGCACAAACAGACAAATAGCAAAAACAAAGAAGCAACACTTCAATACACTTTTTTTCCCTTTTTTTACTTACATTAAATACATTGGTAAATCAGCAGTTGCATTCTGTAACCACGATTGTTATTGGGAGAGGGAGAAAGGGGGGAAAAAGGCAAATGCTTTCTTAGAATAAGAAGAAAAAAAAAAAAAGACAACCCCCCCCCTAAAAAAAAAAAAAAAAAAAAAAAAGATCAGAAAAATCAAGAGCTGGAAAATAAAAATCTAAGATCCCTAAGCCCAACAGAGCTTAAAGGAAAGCAGAAGAGCTTTTAAAAAGTAGAGGGAAGGCAGCAGATAGGTCCAGAAGCTAAGGCCAATCAAGTTTCTAAAGGGAGAGGAGAGGGGAGAATAAGCCAGGGGAAATGGTTTCCCAGCCCCAAGGCAATGAAACATCTTCACTCCAGCTCCATGGGGAAAGCCGCACAGAGAAAGAACTTCATCTTCATGTCTAGGAAATTTAGAAAGGCAACCTAGTTCTTCCACTTGTAAAAAGGATGCACTGGGTCCTTTTAGGGGATAGTGAGTGCTGGGAACAAAAAGGGAAAACATATGTTTCAGGGCCATGATAACTAAGGCTGCCCCTGGAAAGGAGGGAAATTGAGGCCTAAGTAGAAGAACCTAAGACGAGTCCTTCAAAAATCTCAGCTTCATGGATTTCTCAGCTGCACTGGGACAGAAGGCAGTCTGCAAGCCAAAAGAGCAGAGGTTCTGAGCCTAGGTCACTAGGGCACTCTTATCTTTCTTCCCCAAACTCTAGGATGGAAAAACACGGGGCCTAGAGTTCTCTCTTGCCTTGATAGTTTCCTAAAGATATCCTAAAAACACCTGATGAGGGATATGAAGAGATGCTCGAGATCTAGAAAGTACCAGAGCCCTCTGATGGTGTGAGACAGTTGTGAGGTACCTTTCAGTGCTAGTTATTTCCTGTCCACAAGAACAGGTGATGTGATTAAAGGGGCCACACAAGTAGGCCTCTGTGGTACAAAGATGCACAGGGAGGTGGGGCTGGGGTAAGGATAGAGGGATCAAACTGAAGACATTAACAAAGGAGAAAAGAAGTAAGGCCAAAAGGAAGCTAGTGATAGACTGTACAGTGGGAATAAAGACCACACCTATTTACAGGAAAGTATAAAAGACATGGTAATGCATATCAAATTGAATGTGAACCCTGGAAAAAGAGAGAAAATCCCTCCCTCTTACCTGGCCCCTCCTCATTCTTCCTTGGCCTATGCTATGAGGAATATGCCGAGACTACTACTCAGTTAAATTTTCCAGGAAAGGCAAAACTCCACTAAGAGCTAGGTTGGTTAAAACATAGGTTAAGAATCAAGAGTTAGAGGAAGCTAGCAATGAATATTGGGCATGAGTATTGTTCTCTACAGTCCCCTCCCAAAACTTCATATATACTCAGATTCCATTTAATTAAAAAGAAGGTGGGAGGGTGGGTACATTAATCAAAACCCCCATAAAACAAGTATCCCAACTGAAATACCATCAATTAAAGTGCAAACTGCAGGGGGGTATGATAACTAGGGTCCATCTGAAGGCCAAGGGAAAAAAATGCATATGTATAAATTAGAGGATGGGTATCAGAAACTAGTCCCTCCTCTAATCAGATCACAGCAGAGCCAAAGATGCAGGCAACCAGTGAAGATTCTTTGGAGGACTCTGATATCTAATCCCCACCACAGGGGAGAGACTGCTTAAGAGCCTGGGTGAAGGAACGCCAAGCTCTGGAAGCTTGCATCTTCACCTTCTCGGCCTCCATCCAGTTAGCTAACTCAACATAATGCCCTCTCACCTAGTGCCAGAGAGCTTGCCTTCCCATTCTCATCTCTTGCTAGAAACACCCTCCACAAGGCTCATGGATACTGCAGTGTTTTAAAATATGAGAATACTCTAAACAAATAAAAACAAAAAGGAAATGTTTCCTTACTCCCTCCTTCTGTGAGCCTCTCTCTCCCCCAGGGGCCTTTAATGTGACTGAACTGAAAACCTCCTTCCTCAGTTTCTGGTTCACCACCTTCTCCACCCTAAGGAAAGGGAGAAAAAGAGGATCAAGAACAGGGATTGACCAAAAGCAGATAGGGGAAGGGACAGGAGACAAAACTGTTTTCTGAAAAAATGGGGCGGACACAGGAAAAGGAGGAAAGATAAGTAGGTCACTGTCTTGCACCTATAATACAAAGTGAAGAAAGTTTGTTTCGGAAGGTAAGTCCCAGGGGGATCTGAACCCCAAGCCCCAGAGTAGGGGTAGGAGGCCAGTGGCACCAGCTGCCTGGTGTTGGTTGCTGAAGCGTTAAAAAGTGCCATGACGGAGCTGTCAGGAGGCAGCCCTTGGGAGCCAGGGCTCAGTGTGCTGTTACTGTAGGGGCTGTGTGCTCAAGGGTAGGGATGGAGGTTACTTCTTAGCTGTCGTGCTAGCTCCATACTTGTTTGCTGCTAGCCACCCCCTCAGTTGCTACAACACTGGCTCTTGTTCTGCTGGGACTGTTCATGGAGATCCACACCCCGGCTTCGGCCTGCTGTACCCACCAGATTCTGGGGTTCACTCTTTGGCAACTTCTTAGCTGGGGATAAAAAGAGAAGGAAACAAAGTATGGCACATTTTACTCATTCCCTCAAAAAAGGCTACTGGGTGGGGGCAAAAAGGGACAGGGAAAATCAGGACATTAAAAGAATGTTCTGAATGAAAAGTTATTTTTACATTTAAAGTTTTTTTTATAACTGGAAATACTCCCACCTAGCCTTATGACTTGGGTTAGTTATGATCCTGCCTAGTGGCAATGAAAACAGACAAGACCTCAGGCTGTTCTGACCTTACCTATTGCCAGGAAGAGATCGTTCACGTTCATAGCTGTCTTGGCTGAAGTCTCCATAAACAATAAGCTGTTGTCATCTGCATACGCCTGGGCCTCCTGTAAGGGGTGGGGTGTACTGGTGCTCAGAATAAAGGGTGGGAACAGTATTGCCTTGCCACTCCCACAGATCACTAGAGCCATGTATATCCTAGGTCCCCTCCCTTTAAGTGCCCCTCGGAGCCAGAAGGCCCTGAACCCTATTTTGGTGAGTCTTGAAAGAAGCGTATCTGCAGACCACTTAGTCCAACAAACAGATGTCAGGAATCTTAATTATGGGCAGGAGAGGGTAAGTAACCTAGGGGCTTTTGGGTTTGAATAGTCCCTGATCTCACATTCAATTGTTCCCTCCTTCCTATTTCAAACAGGAACCCTCAAGAGCTGGTATTTCCCTAACCCTCCTGGAATTCATTTCTAACTGCTCTGAAATCTCCTTGCTGTCATTTCAATCACAGTTGGTGCTAACTGGGGAATGAGACAATGAATGTCCTCAGATGAGGTTTTCAGGGATGGCAGGTTTGGAAGAAAGGTCCCATGCACAGAGTGGGTGTGTTATAGAGGGACTCTATGGGTCATCTTACTTCATACTCCACCATGCGTTTATTAGCCAGGTCAGCTTTGTTTCCTGCCAGAGCAATAACAATGCTAGGACTGGCTTGTCGCTGCAGTTCCTTCACCCATGTCTTTGCTCGGGCAAAGGTTTCCTGAGAAAACAGAGAAGAGAGTGATTGGGTTGGAATGATTACCAATCCACATCCATCAAGTTCAAAACCCAGTGTCAAAAAACCTCTTCCAGGCAGCTTTCCCTGCCTGAAACCACCTGTATATGATAATTCATTAACTTTCTCTTCTCAGCACTTGGAAGTGTAATTTATACTCTTATTTTTTCAAGACCCTGTTTGTTCTCCCCCAATTAGTTTAATTCCTGTAAAGGCAAGGACTCAGCCAACTTACCTGATTAGTAATGTCATAAACCACAATTGCAGCTTGGGCACCCCTGTAGTACATGGGGGCCAAGCTATGGTATCGCTCTTGCCCAGCTGTGTCCCAGATTTCAAACTTGACTGTTGTGTCATCTAGACAAACGGATTGGGTGAGGAAGGCCGCTATGGATGAGAGAATGGAGGGGAAGACGTTGTAAGTAGAAGTATGAATGACAACGTCTTGCCCATCTTCAAAATACCTTCACTCTCAGTCTAAGACCAGTCACCACACTGACCACTTAAGTACAAAAAACAACTTGGCATTCTCCTTTTTGTATGAGGGGATTTCAAAAAGTTTGGAAAAATTCCATGATCTTTCAGTATCATTTTTCCATGAACTTTCTGAAGTCCCCTTGTATAGAGGCCCTGGAACCAGATTAGAACTATCTTTAGAGATAAGAACTGGCACTTCAACCAGACTCATCCCTCTTCTAATCAAAATAGGGAAGTAACAGATAATGACAGAGATAAAAGCTCCAGAAGAAAGCTACATCAAAAACGAATTAGAAAATCTTAAAACCTTGATGGCAGGTTCCACCATTAAAATGTTCTGTGTTATTTCTTTTCTTATTATCTTCTGGTGGTCCAGGAACACTCTACTTAACAAAGTGATTAGTAAAAGGGGGACAGAAGTAATAGAGTAGTAGCAGAAAATACAATTAGCACCCTGTTTTGAGATAGTAGCAGGGAGAAGGTAGGTAAAGATGTATTTTGTATTTAGTTCCAGCCTCTATTTTACCAAGATGTGCATCAGAATCTAAGTTTAAGGAACATTTCCAAACATACACATGCCTGCCTCCCTGCCCGTGTCACTGCTGTCACCAACCTTCTTCCTCCCCGCTAGTTTAAAGTTCATCTAGGGCAGGGGTGGCGAATGTCCAGCCCGTAGGTCATATAAGGCCCAAGAAATCATTTGGTCTGGCCCTACCAAGGCATCACATTGTTTTTTGTTGTTAATTATCATTGAGTTGGTTCTGAGGAGCAGCTGGTGAGTTTGAACTGGTGAGTTAATGTTTGACCAACAATAACAGGCTAATTTTTAAGTTGATAATTTTGTGTGATGCTATAAATATCCAAATGGCCCTTGGCAGAAAAAAGGTTCCCACCCCTGATCTAGGGTAATGTCCAAGCATGCATAGTTTAGAAATGCTCCCCAGGTGGTTCAGATGTACATCTTTGATTATGAATCAAACCATACTGATTATTGGTTATGCTTCAAACCAACGCTGCTCACGATAGTTCACTCCCTTAAGACTGAGGTAATAGAGTGGGAGAAGGAAGACAGATGGAGATAAAAATTTAGTGCTTTCCTTGGCACTCAAAGGTGAACTTCTCTTCTAGGAAACAAGTGGATGAACACATATACTTATTTGTTGACATTATAACAATTTTTAAATGTTTGTTTTAGAAAACAAAGTGTTTTATAAAAACAATAGGCCTGAGAGGGCCAGTTTAACAATCAAGCCACTATAGCTTCCTTCAAATGACTGGGCATCATCCTTCTTCCTTCCTGAGGAACTCACCTCCAATGGTACTCTCCTGGTACTCATGGAACTGCCCTTTGACAAAACGTAAAACCAGGCTAGACTTCCCCACTGCAGATTCCCCCAGCAGGACCAATTTGAACTGGCATATTTTGCTGGCCTGGGGCTGCCCATTGGGCCTGGCTGTGCTTCTGCTAGTCATGGCCAGATTATCAGAGTGGGAAAGGGTGGAGGGAGGGGGATGCCAAAAAGCGGCAAAAGGGGGAGGGGGAGGGGAGGGGGCTTTCAGGCTTCAACAGTCCTACAAGGGGAAAAAAAAAGTAAAATTAGATATGGGTCCATTGCAGATATAAGCACATTTTAGAGAAGAACAGAATCTCTTCATTTCCTCACTCTTTAGAGGATTTGCCCTTGTAATCACTCATCATTGAAAGGTTATTCCTCAGAGGTACTATGCAGCTGACACCCATTCTAAGAGTGGGGACAGTAAAGTAATTGCATATGAAGTAGTTTGTCCTATCACATCATCTCTAACTGCCAAGGGAACTGAAATGGAGAATGAAAACTGAGAGGCAGAACATTTTTAAGCCCTCATTAAATTCCTATCAAGTTCTCAAAGTTATTGTTTTAATCATAGCAAACTGATCAAACTTTAGTAGGCCAAAAGAAAATCCAGATCCATCCACAAGCACCCTTGATTCCAGTATCTTGCCCTTAAGCTATTAAAATAAGAGATTTACTTTAGGGATGTGGGATAAGTCACCCCTCCTATAAAGGCAGAGAGGTAGCATCTGGCTCTGTACCCTTCTTACACGACCAGTCCTCCTGACATTTCTGAAGCTCTAACCCTATGGCATTGTAGGATAAAGCACAGGACTGCAAGGTTGGCGGTTCAAATTCACAAGCCACCCCTCAGAAACTCTATACAGGGTTGCTATGAATTAGAACCGACGCAACAAACAACCAGCATCCTGTTACCAGAAAAACGATCCATTCTCATTTCTGTCTGAACTCTTGAAGCACAAGATAGGTACGAAGCACAACGGACACTTTCAATATCAACTTTTTCACAACTTCTGCCACCTCTCCAAGTCGTAAAGTCTATGGAGTCTAAGAGTCACTAGGTTTGACCTACTATATTAACTTGCAGCTGTCTTTCTAGCACTAAGGAATTAGATTACCCTATGCACCGAACAGTCTTAACAGCTGTAGCCCTCCAAATTAGAGGCAGAGAAAGAAGGTGTACCTTCAAAATACACATAGGAATTTCTAGAGCATAGAACAGAGATTAAGTCTCCAAGTAACAATTTTTGATGAAAGAATAAAAATTGACCTACATCTATGGACACAGTAGCTCAAAAGAGTAAACAATTTTCAAATGTTTGTTTTATAAAAACAATGGGCCTGAGAGGGCCAGCTTAACAATCTAGCCACTATAGCTCCCTTCAAAAGACTTGGAGAGAGAGAGAGGCTGGGGAACCTAGACCCAGAGAGGGAGAGGGGCTGTGTGCTCACGCTGACTAGACGACTGGGGGGAGGGGGGGAGGGGCAGGCTTGCAGGGTATACCCTTTGGTTGGTTGATGATGCTTGGAGGGGACTGTAACCATGGCAATGAGAATGTAAAGCTAATGTTCTTCCATGTAAACTACCATATAATTCACAATAAAACATTAAAAAAAAAAAAAAAAGAATAAAAATTAACTTTCTCTACCTTCTGAGAGGGCTTGGAAAAGGGGAGGGGGAAGATAGAGGAAAGTAGTTGGGACCTTGAGTCTCTTCTAATCATGCCAACCTGAATATATGTCATCATCCTGAGGAGCTAGGAGATCCAATGAGGAGTTAGCATGATCACAGCATGCAAAACCTCTCTCCAAAACCTAAACCTTGTTTAGCTTATACTTTGCTTTTTTCAAATCAATCTTTCTCATCTCTAAGGTGATCCTAGGTGCTCTACAGACATCATATTCTATGGAATATGTGAAGAAACATTACTTCACTAGTATAGTGAGTGGCTTTGCAATCAAATCAGGGTTAAAATCTCAGCAATCCTACTTACTAGAGAGTAAAGACAGAAAAACATACAAATGAATATAGCCCTAGGGTCCAACTCTCTGGATTTGGTTTCCAGTTCTATTTACTTGCTGTGGAACTCTGGGGAAAGGTTAAACCTGTGTATATGTATATGATAATAGCATTAAGAGTACCTCTGAGGATTCAATGAAATACCTTAAAACAGTAATTAACATAAAGTGGTGGTGGTGGTTATGTGCCGTGGAGTCTGTTCCGACTCATAGCATACCTGTACAGGGTTTCTGAGGCTGTAAATCTTTACGGGAGCAGAAAGCCTCATCTTTCTCCCATGGAACAGCTGGTAGTTTAGAACTGCTGACCCTGAGGTTAGCAGCTCGATTTGTAACCACTATGTTACCAGGGCTCCTTTAACATAAAGTAAGCACTCAATAAATATTAAGTATTATTATGACATCAAGAATATTTCTCTGGCACTCTGAGCATTACCTGCCACCTTTGTAAAATGGAAAAAATGCTTATAGAGTAGCCATGAGGATTAAGTGAAAGATGTAGCACAGTGTGGATAAACAATTGTTAAGTGCCATCAAGTCAGTTGCGACCCTGTATAGGGTTTCCATGGAGCAGGTGGTGAGCTTGAACCGCCAACCTTGCAGTTCAAATGGCTTTGCAGTCTGGCAGCTATTATTTTGTGGCACTTGTTCACAAAAAAATATCAATTTAATATATTATCTTAAAATATATTTCAATATTAGTTGTTAGCAATATATTCCTTAGGCAGCCATATGAAAGAGGTATGGAGAAAGGGGGAGAGGGAGTTGTGGACAAATAATTAACATTAGAATAAAGATAGAAGTGAGAACAGTCCCAAAGTAGACTGTTAAGACAAAACACTGACAAATTATTCTCATCCTACTGGTTATTTTGTGGTCACCTATACCACTAAAGAGTGAGTCCTGGTGTGGTGCTGTGCATTAATGTGCCTGACTGCAAAGCCGTTTGAACTGCAAGGTTGGTGGTTCAAGCTCCTTGGAAACCCTATACAGGTCGCTATGGGTCAGAACCGACTCGACAGCACTTCACAACAACAACAACATGCCACTAAATCCTAAGAATCCACAGATAAATGTGCCATTTTGTGATGAAGTTTTTGCTTGTCTATGATGAAATGATATCAAGTTTTCAATTAAGTCAAATTTATTCAGGTTAAGAGTATCCTTTATTATGAGATTTCTAACTTCTTTTAGCATCAATTCTCTTTTGAAGAATAAATTTATATGTATTAAATGGAAAATTGCTAATACATATTAAGTTTTTTTTTTAAGTACAGCAAAACACATGGTCAGACCCTATTTCTTTAAGCAAAACAAAATTCGGCATAGAAAAAGGCATGGAAGGATCCACATCCATCTGTTAACAGGGATTGGGCTCTCAGAAGAGAGGGATTGAGAAGGGTGGTATGTGAAGGATTTAAAATTTTTAATTCTATTTTTTCATTTTTGCTTTTCCAACAGGGAATTTTTTTTTAATTGTGAACTAAATGATAGCTTACATGGGAGAACATCAGCTTACACTATCGTTTCATTGCAGTGATTACAAGCTCCTCTGTGCGTCATCATTCAACAGTCTTTGCTTCCTTTCCCTCTGGGATTTTTTTTAGGGGGGTGGGGAGATGTAAATAAAAACACTCAGGAATATATAATAATCTCAACTAAAGGGCACATTCTGCAAGACTGCCTTCTTACCGCCAGCCCTCAGTCCCTCTCTTTCCATGAGTCTAGAGTCCTCCAGGGAATATAATTTTAAAATTAGTTTTCTAACTCACTTTTTTGTCTTGTTTTTAAAGTAATGGTGTTGAAAGGTAGTAGTTAGCTATCGAACCATTGTTACTTGAAAAAATAAAAATAAAATTTTAATTTGGATTAGTACATAAAGTTCAAAAATTTGGAATCAGTCTTATAAGGCAATACACAAACCATCAAAAAGACAAACCTATTGCTTTCAAGTGGCTCTGAACTCATAGGGACCCTAACTGCCCATAGGATTTCCAAGGCTGTAATCTTTATGGATGCAGACTACTGTATCTGTCTTCTGCAGAGTGGCTGGTAGATTCAAACTGCCAACCATTTAGTTAGCAGCCCAACACTTAACCACTCTGTATCACCAGGGCTGCTTCTGTTAAGTACTATTCCCTCTCCCAGGCACCAAAAACAAACCCACTGCTGACAGTGGATTCCCATTCCTAGTGACCCTATAAGACAGTATAGACTTGCCCCACACATTCCCAAGGCTGTCCATCTTTACAGAAGTCGACTGCCACATCTTTCTCCTTCAGGGTCCCTAGTGAGTTCAAACCACCAACCTTTGGATTAGCAGTCAAGCACTTTAGCTACTGTGCCACCAGGGCTCCTTTGTAAGGTGTTAAGTGTTGTTCAGTCAGTTCCAACTCACAGCGACCCTGTTACTGGTTTCCAAGGAGCAGCTGGTGGGTTTGAACCACAGACCTTAAGGTTAATAGTCCAGTGCTTATCCTACACCACCACAACAGGATTCCTTTTAAGGCAATGTTGTTAAGTGTCGTTAAGTTAATTCTGACCCACAGAAACCCTGTATAGGGTTTCAAGGAGCAGGTGCTGAGCTTGAATCACCGACCTTGCAGTTCAAACGACTTTGCAGTCTGACGCATTAGCCCACAGCACCACACCAGGACTCCATTGAAATCACCTAGTGGATCATGATTAGTATATATATATTTTTTATTTAAAAAGAAAAAAAACAGAACAAAAAATGAAAGCGACATCACAAGCAATTAAGGGTGTAATTTTGTGAAATTTTGCTTTACTTGTGTATGTATATGTATATATAGTGAGTTTTGATGCAAAATGTATTTTTTTTTTTTTACTATGAGTCATAGTTGAAAAAAAGTTTATAAAACACTGCTTTGGAGAGGCTTGATACTGAAAGCTAAAATATTAGGGATAGAAGGGAAGTTTAGTCAGTTATCAGTCTGTAGTTATGATTACTACTAGAGCACTTCAAACGAAATTAAAAGAACTGAATATAGGCTCCAGAGGTCAGGATTCCCCTAACCTTGTTGTTCTACAGCATTTATGAAAGCCAAAAGAGCCAAACTAAACAGGCAGTCCCACACAGTGAGTGCTAAAGGCTTTGGAATCAGGCACATCTGAGCTCTGTTCTTTACCTTGCCACTTAACCTACTGTGATCTTAAGAAACTCCCCTTGCCTTTCTGAGTGTCGGCTTCCTTATCTAT